AGTATTAGTAAATATAATTAAAAACTAAATCGGAATGCGGTGTTAAGCAAACCGGCTGATGTAAGCCGCAGTAGCTGACCAAATTCTATGGTATTAGGAAAGTCAAACAAAAGACTTAGGCGACAAACTCGCTACGAAGTCACTTTCATCAAACCGATGACAAATCTGACCTTGGACCTTGCCGCCGCCTCTGGGCATTATTTTCTAATTAGCGAGAACGCCACTGTCCACTCTTCTCGACAGAATTCTCAAGTTTATTTGTCTTTGATATTATCGCCACCGGCGTCGGAAGCTTATTGTTCTCTTTTGCCACAGTCTCCACTCTCAGTTCAGTTCTGTGGGTTTCTTTTTTTTACGATTATTATTTTGTTATCTTTTGCAACGACGGTTCTGATCAGTTCGCCAAAGTCCATTAAAAGTGAGTAAATTAAATGAAATTTTGTCAAAAGAAGACAAAAAAAAGAGTCATAATGGAAGTAATAATATCGGGTTTACTGAACTGGGTGTGGGGTTTATGATGTCAGAGAGATCTAGGAAGTGGGTTGTTGTGCTTGGTTAAGCACCCCACAATTTATGGGTCTATACCTTTGGGCCTAGATCTAACAATTGTTAGGTGGGAGTGTCTTTATTTCGGACTTTTATTACCCTTTGATGGGGGAGATATAACAAAAATGTGCGGTTTTATTGAGTTATTTATTGAGATATTCCCACAGTATAGTTAAGATGCTAATGGGCTTCACTTTGTTTTAAAGTATTTAAAAGTAGATTACAAGAACCCTGGGTTAGAAGAGCCTTAGCAAGACTATTCTTTCCAAACTTTGTTGCTAAACTTTTATTCAGTTGAGTTATTGATTAAGATTTTTAGTAGGGAAAGCAAGCTATCTTTGGTAATACGAAGATTGAAAATTTATCATAACTCAGCTAAAAATGCATTAAATTCAAATCGGAAAGCAGTCACATGTTAGTTTTTATCAGGTTAACAAATCTGCATACTCAATTTAAAATGTTAAAAAATTCACATTTTTGGCAATTTTAATGATGTAACCCCTTATAAAATTTAGCAATTTTGAAAAAATGTTGAAAATTTAAATTTCGACCGCACATGGCTAGATCGATTGCCCTTATATATTCTGACCAAGAATATATATGATTTATAGGGTCGGAAATGACTCCTTCACCGACTAAAAATTAAAATACGCTGTAAAGGTTCAAAATAACTGCGAGAACTCTTCTTCGAAAACTCTTCAGAAACAGTGCCTTCAAAAACTCTGTTGCAAGCAGTTCAACTTTCAAAATATTGCGATGCATTCAAAACTGCAGGCAAAAGCGACGACCTTCAATCAAAAAAAAAACAAAAATAAAAACGAAGAAGCAACAACAATAGCGAATGCCTCGCATCACAGAGAGCGGCGGCCAGCCAAGAAACTTGATTAAAGTTAAGAAAAACGTAAAGTTCAACTTGTTTCTGCTGCTGTCATTTGTTGCTGTGTTTTTCGCTGCTATTTTTTGTCCCCTTCGCCTTTGTTGCACTTCTGGTGAAGCATTTGCGCCACGGCTTGACATTTCGCACAAACAAAAACTGCAACGAGAAGGAAAAAATCCCAAACAATTGAAGAAGATTTCATGCTTTTATTTTCGCAATTTGTTGCACCAGCCCAGCCCAGTGCCAGTGAAGAGGACAGACTCTATTGTCACTGGCATAATTAGCCCTCGAAACACCCCGATATGCGCATCTATATAGCCGAGAGATGTGCGAAACCAGCAGCTATATATAAAATGCCGTGCAAATTTCAAATTCTTAAATGCAAAACTGTAAATGTCAAGCCATGGAGATGCTTCATTAGGCACACACACCGTGGTCGTGAGATTTGATTAAATTCTTCAATTAGGGGTTTTTAAATTGGATATACAGACTTAAGAGTGTTATAAAAATTAAAGAAACTGACACAAAAAAACGCAGTAACCATTTTCACGTGCGTTGCAAAATGCATGTAATTTGTTGCAAGTTCCAAATTTCAGTGACTATGTTTTTGTAACATCAAAAGACTTGTTAGAATTTCTTTAAAAATATCAAATAAGTAACAAACCATGGAATTTATACAATATTTTTTAAAAACGAATTGAGCCAGAACCCAATACTTTACCACTGTGCTGTGGGAATAGCACTTGACGTGACCAGTCCCCCGTATTGGTGGTCGGGGATGCCGATTAGCGATCGCCGATCGCCGCTTTGCCTGAAAATGGTATTGCATTGAACCGCTTAACCCACACAACGCCCCATTGTTTTCGGCCATTTTCCTGTTTTTGTACGTCTTAGCCAAATGCCAAATGCAGACGACAGTTTGAGAGCCACCTTTGGGCCGAGTTAGAACGACCGGACACAGGCGGCGGCTAAGTTGAAACGGACTTGAATCGTTGCCGACCATTGTCCATGCATGCCTTGCACAATGGGCTTTCGATTGGATAGGATTGTCAAAGCCAGTGAGACCAAAAAAAACTGCTCCTGAAACTTGAAATATATCTGCGAATAATAATAGATATAAAATATAAAAGGAACTCGGGTAGTGAATCTGAATATGACAACGAGTTGGTTTCGCAAATCCTCCGTCCTCAAATGCTGCTCGCAAGATGAAGGAGAAGGTTATAAAGAAACCTAGGAGGATAATGCTTAAATATCTAAATTAGGAAAGTGAATTAAGTAAGTTAATAATACAATGCAGCTTTTTAATCTAGACTCTTTTTCGATTTCGGGTCAGGGGAATATGGATACTTTTCTGTCTGTAGCCATACTCCTCTGACAATAATAAATTCTGACCACATCTCTCGGATCCCCTCGGAGCAAACTTACAATAAATTCCAATTTGCGATCGATAGGCATATTTATGCGACAAGAGCCCGAAGGTTGCCGGCGTCTAGTAAACTACTGGCCACAAATAGGCAAATGTGTCACGAAATCAATGAATCGGCAGCGATGATGGTTTCCCGATTTTTGGGTCAAGTGCACGCGGCATGCTAATGAGAAGAGTTTGGGGGAAAAAATGTAGTAAAAATTAAGTGTATTCACCCCTATTAGAACTGCAATGCCCACTTAAATATGGAGCTATAGTGCAGCGTCAACGGCAATGGAGAGCGAACGATTTAATCTACCTTTTGCGGATTAGAGTAAGTACGCTTGGAATAGCATAAGCACCCTTGCCCAAGCGCAGAAGGAAATCGGAACTGTTGGTAAAAATCCCACACCTCGGGTGGGAGTCGAACTCGCGCGCGATTGTTTCCCACTAAGAACAGAACACGTTCGGTGCGGCATCTTAGCGCGGAGAACCACGAACGGCCTCAACTATTTCGTAGCATTTAACGGCGAACCACTTGGGCAAGCAGTGGTCAGCGAGGATGAAAGCAGTGTGCAAGCAGTGTAGGGTAGATGTAGGAAATATGTAGAAAATCTTTTGTGGATGTAATGCATTTTTGGCTTAGTTATGGGTTTTTAAGTTATGATTTTTTAATACAATGAGTAATAGATTACTATTGCATATTCGAAACCATTATCCTTTGGCTAACTGCACACATTTTGGCTTCACGAAGTTAGTTTCCTTTCTTGTTCAAGTATAAGGTAAACTGCAAAACAAAATTATATTTTAAAATTTGCTCACAAAAAAAGATTGGTTATGCACTTAACTTTACTGCCATACAACGGAAGTGGGCGTATATAAGAAGCCTTAAATAAACACTGTCGACACTGCCTGCCACTGCCTTGGCATACAAAATATTTTGGGTTTATTCGATCTGACAGAAAGATCCCTCTTGGCCCATTAATCAAAACCCTAAACTAATCTCCAGTCAGTTTCGACAACTCGCGGCAAATGTGCGAGACGTGCGACGCCTCGTCGCGTTCTTAGATGCGATAATAAACGGCAATTATTTGCAGTTAAAAGCGATTCAGGTAAAAACAAGGTGTGAAGGCATAGAGTGCCGCACTCGGAGGCCCCATGTAGGCGTTGTCCCCACTCCAAAGCCTTCAGAGCCCGAGGCTCTTGCATAAATTCGTCGTCTGATAAAATGTTCAATGAAACACTGCCGCGGCTGCAATTTCGTTTAAAGAGAAAAAAACGGCGGCCATATGATATTTCAATTTTCAATTAGCGACTCCCAAAATCTGTCGACACACGGGAAAAACGAAAAAGTAATAAGAGTTTGCGTGGTTCAACTGCATTTTCTTGTTATTTTTCTTGTTTGCTCATTTTTTGAGGCAAGACATTGTGGGTCAAAGAGTCAGGATTGTGACGCATGCAACCATTGTAAATTTGGGTTCCCCACGAATTATAATAATAATAATAATATAATAAGATATCCTCTTGCAGTTTGCTACACTTTTTCTTTTTTCAATCAACTATAAAAAAAATCTGCAAATTGGGCACAAATAAGCCGCCGTAAAGATGTTGCCATGTAAACATGAAAAATGGGAACAAGCCAGACTTAAAAACTTAACAATTTAATGGGTTATTATTAGCTTAACTACTTGGGATCGCATCTCCCTGGGATCTTCAAAATATATATTGTAATAGACTATGATTATGGGTTATTTATGTGGAATAGCTTAGGGGTCTCTGATCGGTTTTGAGTGGGGAAATACCCCACGACTTTTTTTTGATAATTAACTAAAGGAAAACTTTAAGCATTTCATTATTCACTTTTCTGGCTTGACAAATGCGTGCCAAATATTTTTTCGACATGCTGTGACAAATTTGTGACCCAAATGAGAAAAATGATATAATATATGAGATACCGACAACACAGCCGGAGTCTTTATTTATTTATATTTATTTATTACACTTTTCGCGCAATTAAGAGCAATGAGTTTTAGGTTTTGGTGCCGCGCTGCCATGTGTTTCATGGTTAAATGTTGCCGGAGGCAACGAAAGGTGTTGTACAAATTAATTGATTGTTGACACATTTTCGCCACTTTACTAATTACTTTTATTTATTTTTTCTGTGACCTTCAGATACTTCAAGCTATTACTTCCCCTCGCAAAACCGCTTTGTGCCATCATCTGGAACCTTTCCACGCCAACAGCCGCAGTCCCTGAATGGCTTCCGAGCCAGCTCTGGCGGATTCTCACCAGCTGCTCCTGGCTCCTACCAAGAACAGCTCCTCTTCATAGCCAATGAGAACGCCAAGCAATCGTCAGCGGTGCCAGCGGGCAGTTCCCCCTTCGGTGGCGGTACTCCATATGGCGGTGGCAATTCCCAGTTTGGGGTAAGTACATCGAAAATTCAAATTGAAATTCAATTATTTTCCAAAACATTACATTTCCTTATGCGGAGAGTTTTGATTCAGGCAATTAAGTGGGGTTTTTTCTCTGGGCCTGGTCTCTTTTTGCGGGCTCGAGGCTTGTCAGTCAATCAACGTCAAAAACGAAATCAAATCGAATGCAAAAAGCAGCAAAAGCAGAAAAGGATTTCCACATGCCACAAGCACACAAGAAAATTTGAAAAATTACAGGGGGGCGGAAATTTGTAAATTGCCTTTGGCTTTCGGTTGGTTACTACATATGGCGTGCCACGAAAAATGGGCAGGATGTAAATAGTTTTGATTGAATATCAATATTTTCGAAAGGTGCAAAAAGAGTTTGCATTTTTAAATATATAATGTTGGAAGATTAAACTAAATCAGAAAAAGAGCGCAATTCCTCATATTTATATTTAGATTTGAATGGGGATTATCTACTTTAGGAAGTCTATATTAATAATACTTCAATATCACCAAATTCACTTTCAGCCTTTCTCTTTCATCTCTCACATCTCACCTGACTTACCTGGCTCAAACATCTCTGTTACCTTTTACTACTTAATTTTTATTTCCCTGGCACGCGACTGCCAAAAACTGTTAGTTTTGCTTTTGAAAATGTCCGTAGGCTGCACGCTAACCAGTCACCAGAAAAACTAATAAAAACCCACAACATGTATGAGAGCTATAATCAAATTATAGATATAGTATATATATTCCCCGATATGCGTGTAAGAAATGCCGGGAACTGCAAGTCTCTCTCTCGTACTTTCACTTGACCAAAAGACAGACAAAGCGAATCGTCAGAGGCTTCTGCATATCAACGAATATATGCGTGAGTACTCGTGACTGTTGATTCGAATTCAAAAAGAGCCAGAAAAGGGTGAGGGGAGGTGCCTCGCCCGCCTGTGTTTCTTAATTGAAAAAAGTGTAAATTCATATTGTTTATTGCCAGCCTGAAAGGCGATGAGCACGCACTTTGCAGGCAGCTTTGTGGCCCTAATTGAAATGCGCTTTGTGGCTCAGAGGAGGTTCCAAGAGCTGCACAGCCAGGGGTCTTTGCTGCAGTATAAGAGAGATTTGTGGCTTGAAGAAAAACTCAATTAACTTGGCTCAACTCCTGAAGTGATTTCTGCAATTGTGCAGAACCCTTTCAGACAACTCCTCTTAGACTTAGATGATGAATGAAGACAGCTCCAGGCAGGATCAGTTCGGGATCAGAGCTACTGAAAAGATCCACCTGCCCTGCCCTGCCCACTCGTTACGAGACAGCTTATCATAAGCCATAATGGAAAATTGTGATTTGTTTGAATGACGACTGATTGGCCAGTCCGAGTGTGTGTGCCGTGTGTTGGTCTAAGGGGAAAGTGCGTCGTAATGACATCGCATAAGTGGCACTGCAATAACTCCCCAGCTCAGCGGCTTTCCACAAAACGTGAGCGAAGCTTTCATAGTTTCATTATGCTATCCATATTGACAAATGTCTTAGAAACGTTTGTTTTTAATTTCCCCCACCGACTGGCGGTCGCTTTCTTCGCTGACTAACACACAAAGAGCCAACTGACAATGCGGCAGTGAAATTTTCAATCTCTGAGCATATCAGAGCACACACAAGATAAACATATACTATACTTGGGAAATAAAGGGAAAGTTTAGTAATTTTGATTGGAGAACTAAAATTAAAGATTTTATTAATTAATTATTTGGAATGAGGATTTTTCTCCGTGTAACAATGCAGCCGCCCGCCCATTAAATGTCGGTTAATCAGACTAAGTCCAATGGGCAACAAACCGCATTTCTCTCCGGGCTTCGGAGAGAAAATCTCGAAGCCCAGAAAATGTAAGCCAAGAGTTCGTTGTTTTGGCAGATGGAAACGTGAATTTTCTGATGCGTAAACAGCTCCGCCAAGAAGCGGAAAAATAAATGCATTGAAATGCGCCTTTTAGCAACAAAACTTGCGTTTTGTATGCAATTTGCTTAACAGAGCAAAACTTTTGGCAGCCAATGCAGCACAACTAGGCTTTCAGAAAGCAACAGAAGAAAAGCAAAAAAATAAAAACACCCAGCCAACACACAATCAACAACAAACAATACAAAGTACCAATAATAACAAGTACTTGGATTGGATTGGATCGGATAGGATTGGAGGTGAAACTGGCGGCAATTTGGATTTCGGATAATTAGTGAGCCAGCTGTATATATCGCCTCCAAACGACCTTGATACACTTCAATCAAACATTTTCAATCGATTTCCATTGTCTGCTCGCTGCAGCTTTCGATATCTAGAGCTCTGCGGCTTTGTCTGCAGCACGTCGAAGGCGATTGAGAAGGGTTTCTTCGATTACTTTGGTCTTGTCTGAGCTCTTTGATTTTGATTTTTCCCACCTGAAGTTTGGCCTAGATTATGGAATTTGTCAACATAAGACCCTACTTCAGTCGGACTTATGATAGTTCTGTCACCTTTGAGAGCACTTTTGGGGTATCGTTTTAAGACCCCGATCAAAGTCAGCTTTCGTTAGCTTATAAAACTCTTACGTTAGAGGATCTAAATGCTTGTCTATTTAATTGGAAAATTACCCTTTCTCTTGAAATTTCACCATTTCAAAAAAATTACCTGGCAGAATATTTTGCATTTAGAGGTGACTAAAAAGTGTGGGTTTATACTTGAACCATTAAAAAACCTACTCAGTCAATGATTCATTTGGGATTTTCGAGTATGATTCAGTTATTTATTTTTTGTAATTTAATACTCTTCTCTATAACATCAACTAAGAAAGTTCAATAACCAGAAGCTGCGCCATTTTTAAGTTAATAGCTTCGACAAATTGATTTTTAATTATATGCTGATCGCTGCCTAAGAACTTGATCCATTATTTATTAATGTTTATTTTTGGAGACCATGGGGGAATGGAAAAAGATCCCAGAAAAGTATTTAAATTAAAATTAAACACATAATTTATCAAGGTTTCGTCGAGTGGTGATTTAATTTATACAGTTTAATATTTAGAAAGTTTAAGGTGCAGTATCTAAAATTATTTCTTATAGAACCAGAAAGGTCATTAAACGGAAACTTTAAATCCTTAACCAACATAAACATTTTAAATTAAATGTAGAAAATATTTATATTTTAAATTGAGTATGCAGCTTGGTTAATCTACTACAAACTAGCACAGAACAGCTTTCCGAATTAAAATTAATGATTTTTTTGGCTTAGTTATGAGTTTTTTAAACAATGATTTTTGGGAAAAATTGTCTGTTTTTATACCTTTTTGCGGGTTTTTGTAATTTTAGTCAGAAACTTGTTAAAGCATCAACAAACGCAGTATGCAGATTTGTTAGTGCTATAAAAACTTGCACAGAAAAGCTTTCCGATTCAAAATTAATGCTATTTTGGCTTAATTATGATGTTTGGAAAACTCAGATTATTTAAGAAAGTTGCCTGTTTTTATACCTTTTTGCAGATTATAGCTTCAGTCAGAAGATTAAAACGCAGTGAAGGAGTCATTTCCGACCCTATAAACCATATATATTCTTGATCAGCATCAACAGCCCAATCGTTCTAGCCTTGTCCGGTTGAAAAATAAATTTTTGGCACTTTTCCGAAAATTGAAAATTTTAAAATTGCCAAAATTGACAAAAAATTGAATTTTTTAAATTTGAAAACTGAGTATGCAGCTTTATTAATCTACTAAAAACTAGCATAGAACAGCTTTCCGAATTAAAATATATGATTTTTTGGCTTAGTTGTGAGTTTTTTAAACTATGATTTTTGGGAAAAATTGTCTGTTTTTATACCTTTTTGCGGGTTTTTATAATTTTAGTCAGAAACTTGTTACAGCATCAACAAACGCAGTATGCAGATTTGTTAGTGCTATAAAAACTTGCGCAGAAAAGCTTTCCGATTCAAAATTAATGCTATTTTGGCTTAATTATGATGTTTGGAAAACTCAGATTATTTAAGAAAGTTGCCTGTTTTTATACCTTTTTGCAGATTATAGCTTCAGTCAGAAGATTAAAACGCAGTGAAGGAGTCATTTCCGACCCTATAAACCATATATATTCTTGATCAGCATCAACAGCCCAATCGTTCTAGCCTTGTCCGGTCGAAAAATAAATTTTTGGCACTTTTCCGAAAATTGAAAATTTTAAAATTGCCAAAAATTGACAAAAAATTGAATTTTTTAAATTTGAAAACTGAGTATGCAGCTTTATTAATCTACTAAAAACTAGCATAGAACAGCTTTCCGAATTAAAATATATGATTTTTTGGCTTAGTTGTGAGTTTTTTAAACTATGATTTTTGGGAAAATTTGTCTGTTTTTATACCTTTTTGCGAGTTTTTATAATTTTAGTCAGAAACTTGTTACAGCATCAACAAACGCAGTATGCAGATTTGTTAGTGTTATAAAAACTTGCACAGAAAAGCTTTCCGATTCAAAATTAATGCTATTTTGGCTTAATTATGATGTTTGGAAAACTCAGATTATTTAAGAAAATTGTCTGTTTTTATACCTTTTTGCAGATTATAGCTTCAGTCCGAAGATTAAAACGCAGTGAAGGAGTCATTTCCGACCCTATAAACCATATATATTCTTGATCAGCATCAACAGCCCAATCGCTCTGGCCTTGTCCGGTCGAAAAATAAATTTTTGGCATTTTTCCGAAAATTGAAAATTTTATAAGGGGTTACATCATTAAAATTGCCAAAAATTGTCAAAAATTGAATTTTTTATATTTGAAAACTGAGTATGCAGCTTTATTAATCTACTAAAAACTAGCATAGAACAGCTTTCCGAATTAAAATATATGATTTTTTGGCTTAGTTGTGAGTTTTTTAAACTATGATTTTTGGGAAAATTTGTCTGTTTTTATACCTTTTTGCGAGTTTTTATAATTTTAGTCAGAAACTTGTTACAGCATCAACAAACGCAGTATGCAGATTTGTTAGTGCTATAAAAACTTGCACAGAAAAGCTTTCCGATTCAAAATTAATGCTATTTTGGCTTAATTATGATGTTTGGAAAACTCAGATTATTTAAGAAAATTGTCTGTTTTTATA